AAAAAAAAAAAAAGTAAAAGTACATAATTAATTCTTTAAAAAAAAAGAAAAAAGAGAGAGCAACTGGGTTTCACTTTTATTTTTTAAATAATAGCAATAGAAAACTTTAATAAGAATTAAGTAGTAAAAGCAATGATTACCAAAAACAAAGATGAAAAACACAGCACAGCATAAAATAATTCAGGAAATCTAATGTCACTGAAGTACTGATAGAAGAATGATGACGCCAGAAAGTACGAAACACTTCCTTCAAGATACCGTACCTTATCAATGGCTTTTCCAACCCGAGAAACACTGCTGTGGATGTCTTTGTGGTCCGAGGCCAATTTCTGAACAGTATCCTTTATTCTTTTACAGCACTGCGTCAAAACAAGTGAAAGTGTCCCTGATAATTCAGCATCTTGGCAGGATTTCCTGCTTGAGGCCGCCCCTGTAGTCCATGAACTCCTCCAGGCGGCGCTCGCACAGTTGCCCATAGCCCGAGAACTTGTGCAGCACCTTCTCCAGCTCGTGCTCCACCGTCACGCACTGATCCATGCCGGAGGCGGCGGCAATCGGCTCCTCGGGGCCCAGGTGTCCGCAGCCATTTGGCCCCGGCCTCGCCCCCCTTGCGCTTCCTGCCCCTCGTCCCCCCGGCGGGGCGGCGGAGGCAGCCTAGGCTGCAGGCGCGCTAGCCCTGGCGCCGGTGGAGCCCCGCGCCGCCCTTGATGGCCAGCCCCATGGCGCCCCGGCCCCGCCCCCGCGCATAGCCTCCACTCTGGCTTGCTGGCCCCACCAGGCGCCTGGGTCCGGGACCCCGCTGGGAGCGGAACTCTGCCAGTGGTGCCACTGCCAATTGTTTTTGTTTTCAGGGGAACCCATCTATGACCTGGTTCTCCCTGGCAGCACCAAGCGCTGCTGACCCGTGGGGCCCCAGTGTAATCTTAAAGACAAGCATTTTGTTCACTTTTATTTTGCACCTCTATCTTGCATCAGCAGAGACTAATGTTATAACTACCCATTGATGTGGACACATGAATTAAAGCTACATACATATGGGAATAAATTCTCTATGTTTTTAGTCTATGAGCTTAGTCTATATAAAAATGAAAATCTTACTCATATCATAGACTTTCTTAAAAAAAAATATTCTGAGCTCCAGCATGTGGCATGGTGGTTAAGGTGCTGGACTCCCATATGGTCGTCTGTAGTTCGAATCCGGGACCTGGTGGCATACTTTCTCACTTTCTTCCTCTCTGTCTCTCTAAGGTGAACACACATGCCCTAGAGCAAATTAAAAGGTAATAATAAATAAAATTAAATAAATAATTCTAAAAAAAAGTCTGACTTAATCATTAGGTGGTTAATTTTCCTGTGAAACAATCCGTGATCTAATCGGGACCAGCAGTTAGTGTAATGGCTATGTTGCTGGACTCCCATGTAGGTGATCGCGGTTCGAGTCACGGACCCGGTGGCTTGAACTCACACCAGGCATGTGTGCGTGTGTGCCCAAGATCCCGAGAGGAGACTGGAGGAGAAGGGATTGTGGCGTGGCCATCCACTCTAGGGGGTGATTTCTCACATTCTGTTTCTCTCTCTCTGTCTTTCTGGCGAGCGCATGTGCCCTATAGCAAAAACCTCTCCCCCCCATTAAAAAGGTAATAATAAATAAAATTAAATAAATAATTCTTAAAACATTCTGACTTAATCATTTGGTGATTAATTTCCCTGTGAAACAATCAGTGATCTAATCTCATCAATGCAACATAAGGTCCAGACATCAGTGCAGGAGGACAACTTACTTTCACTCTTCTTCTTGGTTTCAAGTTGATTTAATAGTTGCTATATCTCATTGTCATACTCCACCCATTCTGGGATGATTCGGGCAGCAGCTTTTAGTTTAGGTTCTTTTGTTTTGGGGTTATTACACTAGAAGTTTAAATAAATTTTGTTAAAGAAAAATCATGCCCCAGGAAACCTAAAAAAAGCACATGAAGACATTGCCAAGTCACTGAAACAGACAAAATACATTTTATAAAAAGCAAGGCACTGCTAAGAACTTAAAGCACTGAAATTTAATATAGGCAGAAACAAGTGAAATCACAACTTACCTAAGTAATGACCATGAATAAAAATAGCTGAATCAGAAATTTAAATAAAAATTGTGCGAGGTCACTTTGATGGTTCATAAGAAGTTTGTCAAACAGTTTTGTAAAATGCTTGACAAAAGATCTAATGACATTACCTTTTTTGTTTTAAGAGAGAGTTTTTCTATAGGGCATGTGCATTCGTGACAGAGACAAAGAGAGACAGAGAGACAGTAAGCAAGAAATCACCCTCAGAGGGATGACCATGCCACAATCCTTTTCCTTCCATTCTCCTCTCGGGATTTTGGGCATTCACGCACACGTGCCTGGTGTGAGTTTCAAGTGAACAGGTCTGGGACTTGAACTGCAGTCGACTACATAGGAGTCCAGCCATATAACCATTACACTACCTGTTGGTCCCATGACATTACCTTTGTATCAAAGATCACAGCCAATTAGTCTGCTTTGTAGGCACAGTGGAACTACAGCGGAAATGCAACCCTGGCTTTCACAGTTCCAATTCCAAATTTACTAATGTAAGATCTGAACATATAACATGACTCTGTCAAGGGTTGGGACTTTAGTTCCTTCCTTCCTTCGGAAAGATTTTTACTGTAGAGTAAATGTGTTTGCTGGAAATACAGAGAGACAGAGAGAAAGAAAGCGAGAAATCACCCTCCAGGGGGGGACGCCATTCCACAATCCCTTCTCCTCCATTCTCCTCTAAGGATTTTGGGTACACACACACACACACACGTATGTCCAGACTGAGTTTCAAGCTACATAGCCTTGAACTGCAGTCGACCATTTGGGAGTCCAACAACTTAACCATGATATTAACTGCTGGTCCCGGGGCTTTAGTTTCCTTATTTACCAAAGAAATTAAAATAAGACCATCTCTAAGATTCTACCAGTATATGGTAATTTTAAGTACCTGGTACTACTACAGCATTTCTCGGGAAATGAAAGGTTAAAAGACAAAATGACAGACATGTGACAAGGATCTGAGGCCGACCCAGCTGAAGGCAATGCTGACAGGATCTGCGGACCGGCAGACACGAGCTGTGAGAATGGAAAAGCCCAGTACACTGGCTTCAGCAACGGAAAAGACGAAGTTGCCATTGACTGAGACAGAAATTATAAGGGAGAGAGCATAAACTGCACCAAGCTACTAAGGCAGCCCGCCTGCTCTATGAAGGACAAACACAGGAAGTGCTGGAAGCTCATTTCTATGTGACATGTTCTCAACTTGCTCTCCTCTTACTTTCTTGGGGATAGTTAGAGCCCTGAGCCATGAGCGTGTGGTCTGAATCCTCTCCGTACCAAATGTTTTCAGCTCATTATATTGTGGGTATTTTTCTATAGTGCTATATCACTGAAATAAATGAAAAACAACATTTTCTCTGCAGAAATGAATTTCACAGGAAATATTTTCCATAAAGTAAAAACAATGGAATTATTTTGTCTTTTAAATTGTATCAGAGCTATTAAAATAAAATTATGTTTTCTGGGGCCAGCAGGTAGTGTACTGGTTAAGTGGATCCCACATGGCCTACCCCATGGCTTGAGTCCCAGAACTGGTGGTCTGAAAAATGTGCCAGGTATGTGTGCATGCATGCCCCAAATCCCAAGAGGAGGATGGAGGAGAAGGGATGGTGGCATGACCATCCCCATATGGGTGATTTCTGATTTCTCATTATCGCTTTCTGTCTCTCTCCAGTGAGCACACACACCTTACTGTCGGAAAATAATAATAATAAAAAAATAATAACAATTTTAATAAACTAAATTAAGTTTACTTTCTGGGCTGCAATGCTTGTTTTTGGGCTATAGTCTTTACCATTAGTTTTTAACTGGGCATTCAGGGTTCCAGGAGCTGTGGCAAGGTCTGGAGAGTTCTGGGGGTCATGATGAGGTGTGGTAGGCATTTCTGTCATCTCGTGGGAAGTGACCAGGGAATATCTTACACTATAGGACAGATGGCCACACAACAGAGAATGATCCAGCCGCAAAAGCCAAATAGGCCAAGGTTGAAAAACAGATTGAAATGGGAGCTTAGAAAGTCATGATATTTTGTAAACGCTCTCATTCTGACTTTCTTTCTTTTTTTTTTTGGAGAGGTTTTTGCTATAAGGTACGTGCGCTCGCCAGGCAGACAGAGACAGAGAGACAGAAAGCGAGAAATCACCTCCCGGGGGGATGGCCACGCTGCAATCCCTTCTCCTCACTTCTCCTCTTGGGATCTTGGGCACGCACGCAAACATACCCGGTGTGAGTTTTATGCCAGCAGGTCCGGGATGCGAACCGCGGTCGACTATGTGGGAGTCCAGCGACATAGCCATTACGCTAACTGCTGGTCCCATTCCTACTTTCAATTCTACTAATCATGTTCTTTTTCTCTCTGGCCACTTCATTGGGATTTTTCTGTGTTTCTTCTAATACAAGAACCTAGCCAAGAATGGCATGTTCCCTTGTTTTATTTTAAATGTTTCTAGAGGAGAGACAGTAGGGCTGCACACTAACATTTATGCCACTCTCTCCTTTTCCTGGGGAATGCTGCTGCCAGGAAGTAGCTGTAATCCCAGAATGACATTTCTCAGCTCTGTTTACAGTGAGAAATGGCCATGTGACCAACCCCCACAAGGGGGTTCAGGATTTGGGATGCTTTATCCACACCCCTTTTTCCCCTTTCCTCAAGAGTGGCACTATTCAATTGAAATATGATGGAAACTGCATACATAATTTTAAATTTTCTAGTAGCCACATATAAAAATATAGAAGAAACACGTGAAATAAATTTTAGTACTATACTTTAACTTGGTATCGCCCAAAATGGTATTATTCAATACGTAATCAACACAAAAATTAGTAATAACCTATATTTATATTCTTTTTACTGTATCACGTTTTCAAAACTGGTGTGCATGTCACACGTCACAGCACATCTCCGTGCAGACTAGCCATGTCTTATGTGTTCAACTGCCGTATGGGGCAAGTCGCTGAAGGCATACAAGGGGCAGCTCCAGGTAAAAGTACTAAAGATGATGACAGGAGCCAAGAAGATGGAGAAACTACAGGTGGACAGAGTGTAGCCCCTGAGTCATAATACACAAGAAAACTATCAACGACACGTACACTCATTTACGTCTGCTATTTGGGCGAGTGTGTTGTCACTGAAATCTGGAGACTATTCCCTCCCCACACCACACACATTATATTGGTTAGCAAAATATCTTAATTGATCTAACTACTTTCAATAGCAAGTCCAGCTGATATATAAACATCTGTGAACAGATGTTTGACTTTAGGCATGAAACTGTGAGTAGAATGAATATACTATAAAATAGCACCTATCTGAGGCTATGTAGCTTACTGGGATCATTAAATAGGTATTTCTTACCTTTTTTTTAATTTCAAAAAAGGCAGTTTTAGCTTTAATAAATTTTAAAAAAAATGTTAAGAGAACTTTTGCTTAATACTTAAAGCCAGGAAGCAGGTTAGGATTCCATTCAAATAGTAGTCACATGGATCTGTTGACAATTCAAGAGAAGACAAAAATCCTTATCTCTGGAGTACAAAGCATAGAAAAAGATCAGTATTGTTTGAGTCAAAAGTCATTAAATTCTATTTCATCGGCTCAGTCTCATGTATTTAATATAACTTCTGTTGTGGTTCAAGCTTTCCGTTTAAATTTTAGAAGATAATATTCAACTCTGGACTTGTCCCTACCATTAAACTGGCCCTTTCTTAGATTTTTTAAAAAAATGTTTACCTCTGTTTTCTACTTTAGTTTTCCTGATGCAACACTCCCTTCAGAACCTCTTGGAGAACTGGTCTGGTGTCAATAAATTCTTTCAGCTTTGTTTATTTGAGAATGTTGTCTTCTCTTCCCATATGAAGGATAATCTTGCTGGATATAGTATTCTTGGTTGAAATGGTTTTTCACTCAGCATTGAATGTATTTTCCCATTCTTTCCTTGCTCACATTGTTTCTGATGAAAGGTCTGGTGTTAACCTGATGGGATAGCCTTTGTAGGTAACTTGTCATTTTGCTCTTGTCAGTCTGAGTATCTTGTCTTTGTTTGTGGTTTTGGTCAATCTGGCTACAATGTGTCTTGGAGAAAATCTTCTTGGGTTGATTCTATTTGGGGTCCTATAGAAATCTGGGGACTTGTTAACAGTAACTCCTATTAACCTATATATTGGGTTGTCAGAAAAGTCATGACATATTTATCTATGTTTTTCTATTCAAAAATGTGTCATGACTTTTCCAAAAACTCAACAGTAAAGATCTCTGGAGATTTAAGTCACTACCATGAATCATCATCTTATCTGTTACAACATACACTTGACAACATCTTCATAGTTACATTCAGTAATGTTCCTAACTTCTCTTGATCAAATTCCTTGCTTTCTTATCCATACTGTTTTACTTACTTCTGCTATACCTATGATTACATTCTAACAGGTTATATGTTACTTTTTATATACATTGCTACACATATCTGGAAAAATGTCTAGTTTTTTATTCTGCTTTATTTTGTTAGAACTGTATGATTTCTAATATTTTGATATTCTTCAATGAAGATCTTGTAAACAATTGCTCTACACTCAAAACAGCATTAAAAACAATATGATCAAAAAAAGGACTGTATGGGACCAGCAGTTAGCGTAATGGCTATGTCGCTGGACTCCCACGTAGTCGACCGCGGTTCGTGTCTCGGACCCGGCGGCTTAAACTCACGCCGGGCGTGTGTGCATGCGTGCCCAGGATCCCAAGAGGAGAATGGAGGAGAAGGGATTGCGGCGTGGCCATCCCCCCTGGGGGGTGATTTCTCGTTTTCTATCTCTCTGTCTCTCTCTGTCTGTCTGGTGAGCGCACGCGCCCTATAGCGAAAACCTCTCCAAAAAAAAAAAAAAAAAAAAGGACTGTATTATCTTATAGATCTATACATTAAGAAGATGGCAAATCGGAGAACAGTATCATATTGTGAAGTAAGTTCTAGATAGCTGGACAATACATCGGTTTGAATTATCTTATGTTTAGGAGCATTCAACTATGTCACACACTTAAGCTGCTTATAATAAAAAAAATCTAAGAAAAAATAATCTCTTAAAATAAGAGAGAAAAATAGACGTGTAGAATAATTCAAGTAAATAGACTAATTTGGGTTGCCTTTATTTGGGGAGAATATTGGCAGAAGAACTAAACTACATATACATTAAGGAGATGACTAACCTAGGAATAGTCAGGCAGATCATGGCCACTCATACAAAGCCTGTGTGCAGAAAAGAGCTAACACAGCCAGCCTGCGACTGCTATTCTTACAATAAGGTTGGCCACTGGCTGACACCTGAGAGCTTCAGTTTCCAGATGGTTCCCATCACTCCCTGATGTGTGGCTCACTGCTTAACCTGTCTGTGGAAACATTATGGTTTCTGCTAAACACCTGCTTTTCTTCCAGGACTTGAGTATTTTGGTGTGTGCCAGGTAGAAGGTGCTTATGTGGTGAGCACTGCCTCTAATAATCTACCTTGGTAGGCAACACTTCATACATGTGGCATTTGTGTTACTTGAGGAATTATCCTTGTCTTATGTGACTTCAGAGAGAAGACTTTTGGAATCTTGCCTGATTTTCTCTCCACGTACCTCTTCCTTTGATGAGTTGGCTTTGCATTCTTTCACTGTACTAACTGAGAGCCATAAATACAACTGTGTTCTGCACCCTGTGAATCTTTCTAATGCATCACCAAACCTGAGGGCCATCTTGAGGCTCTGACACAACTCTGTACACAGCCAGTGGATGTCTACCAGGCCAAGCAGCACACAAAGCAATATAGAATGTGTACCATTCCATTTCTAAAACAAAAATATTCCCACTGAACATTTCTGTATCTGCTTATGTACAAATGAAAACATTTGACAACTCACCAGGTCAATTGTTTTGGCTCTATGTTCGGACTCATCATCACACCAAGTTTCACACCATAACCAGTCTTGAGGAAGAGACTTAATGGCAACTTGGTAAATCATATCATTCGGAAGATCCTACAAAGAGAAATGACATACAAAAAAGTCAGAGAGAAGAAGCTGAAGCAAGTCTCTAGATTGTAAATCAACACACACACACACACAAACATGCAAATCTGAGACACTGCTGTATTTTTAAAAATTATTTTATTTAACTTTCTTTATTCATTCATTTATTTATTTCAATTTGACCAGAGAGGGAGAGATAGAGAGAGAGAGAGTGCACGAGCACGTGCACGCAAGCCGCCAGGTCCAGGACTCAAACCGCAGTCAGCCATGTGGGAGTCCAGCACCGTTAACCACTAAGCCACCTGCCAGCCCCAAGATACTGCTGTATTTTTAAGTTTTAAATATCTAATCTGATTCAATCACTTTGTGTCATGAGTGAAACTATGCCAGAACCTCCCTGAGTCTTCACTTCTAACACTAAGGATAAAGAGGGAGGCCCACAGAGCCAACACTCTATTCCACCCAGTGGATAGCCTGTCTCCATCTGTCTTGAAATATCAGGATTAATGGCTCACAGTGTCTGTTATTACTGTTCATGCTAGTCACAATCCCACTCTCCAGATTCTGAGGTGACCTTTCACCTCCCTGCTGGAAACAATCCCCCGTACGTTCACATTTCTGCATGCGCAGGACTCTCTAAGCAAAGATTGCTGTCACCTGCATTAAAAAAATGTTGAAAGGTGGATGAGACTAGTAATTTCTTGAGATCTCTCAAGAAATTTAAATACAGCTTTCATAGTTATTTATTTATATTTCAGGGGTTTGTAAAGCACTTCCTTTCCTCTCCACAGAGATGATTTGTTTACAGATCAAAGAGCTTGTTTCCTCTCTCTCTCTCTCTCAGAGAGCATGGAGAATACTTTTGTTAGCTGTCCTATATAAGCTTCAAAATTCATAATTTTAGGCTTTCTCTCTCAACATTCCTATTAAATATCACACTGGAAGTCCTAAATAATGCAATAAGGTAAGAAAAGGAAATGAAAAGCATAGAGATTAGAAAGAAGAAATAAAACTGTCATTGGTAGGTAATGCAGAAAATACCAATAATTAGTTTTATTTAAAAAAAAAAAAACCTCCTAGAAATAATAAGGAATTACAGAAAAGTTAGAAGATACGAAGTTGACATAAAAAGTCAATTGGTGGACTAGCTGGTGGCATGGTGGTTTGAGTCTTGGATCTGGTGACTTGCTTTCTCCCTTTCTCTTTCTCTCTGTCTCTTTCTGGTCAAATTAAAAAATAATAATAATAAAATATGGAAATAAATAAATAATTCCTTAAAAAGAAAAGTCAATTGCTTTTCTAAATGTCAGCAATGAGCAATAGAAATCTGAAAAAAAACCCCACACCATTTACATTAGCTTCCTCAAAAGAAAAACACTTCAGTGTAAATCTAAAAATATTTTCTTCTATATGAGAAAAACCACAAAATTCTGATTTTAAATAGGGATCAAAATAAATGAAGAGATATTCTATATTCATGGATAGGAAGAATCAATACTGTCAAGGTATCTGTTCTTCCAAGCTTGAACTATAGATTCAGCATAATCTCAAAGTACCAAGAAGTCATTTTGTAGATAACTACTAATTGTTTCTAAAGTTTATATGGAAAAGGAGGAGACCCAGAACAGTCAACAAGATATTGATGAATAAAGTAAGAGAACTGGTTTTACCAGACTTGAAGTTTTGTTACAAAAGCTATAGGAATCAGCACAGTATTGGTATGGGTCAAAGAACAAACAGATCAATGGGAAAAGAAAATACGAACGTAGAAATATGGACATTCTCTGTACTTTCTGCTTATTTTTTTCCCCAGTTCTTCTAATATTGCTGAAAAAAAAGGGCTTTCAATATTAAAAAAAAAAAAAACTTAAAAGCTTAACTGTTATTCTGACACCCTTAGTTCCGTAGAATCTCTTTGTTAAATCACCTTCTATATTGTCTAATAAATGTTTACTTATTTATTCCATGAACGAGAAACAGTGAGGGTCACACACCATCTCCAAATGAGTCTTGATGCTGTGATCCGTTCCTAGTTCTCAGCCAGCCCTGGATCATGGGCAAGTTTATGCTTGGTGTACTCAAGGTCTCAAGACTTTGAACCAGGGATCTTCCTACATCAGATCCTGTGGCAGAGCACAGCATTTTACATTTGTGCCACTGTCTGGCTCCGGTCTATCACCTTATCTCAATCATTCACTCTCAAAACCATATCCTAGACGAAAGTTTTCTAGAATATCAATTTTATGGTTCCATTCTGAAAACTTCTTGATTTTCAGCTCACTCCACTGAGTACTCAGGTATCATTGTTCTTTGACTCCATGAGATCTCCAGTCAATTGATCCTAGCATTATCAGCATCCCTCCTCTTCGATTTTTTTTCTCTTCCTTATAAATATTCCCTTCAACATACTGTTAATTGTCAAATTCTTCTTTCACTTTTACTTTCTCTTATAAAGCACTTCCCTTCCTCTCCACAGAAGAGAAAGTTTCTTGGCAAAGAAACTTTATTTATTTATTTATTTCAAATAAATCTAAGTCTCTTCATTTGCACCCATGTAAATCAACATAGTTGGTGAAACACATACACAAACTCACATACCCCACACTGTTTCATTTTAACTTCATAACCATTAATCTTAACAGACTTAATTCGGTCAAACATTTCTATACATAGGTCTATTTTACTCTGTTTAGTTTAGTTTAGTTTAGTTTTCATAGGGTGCATGTGCTTTCTGGAGAGAAACAGAGATGAAAAATGAGAAATTACCCCCTGGGGGGATGGTCATGCCACAATCCCTTTTCCTTTCAGGATTTGGTCAGGCATACCCATACCCAGTGTGATTTTCAAGCCACCAGTCTAGAATTCCAACAGTGACCGGCCATGTTGAAATCCAGCACCTTAACCACCATGCCGCCTGGTGGCTCTATATAGATCTATTCTGTTCTCACATTTTTAGCTGCTTATTTGACAAACTCTCCTCTTATACCTTTTACCAACCACTCTGTAACCAATAGTCTACTTTTTGTCTCTATGGGTTTGTCTAGTTTGGACATATATATAAATGAAATAGTATGTTTTGAGATATTTTGTGTTTGGCTTCTTTCACTTAGCACATTTTCAAAGGTACATCCATGTTATAAAATATACTTGTATTTCAATCTTTTTACGGCTGAATAATATTCTATTGCATGGATATATAACATTTTGTTCATTCATTCATCAACTGATGGGCATTTGGTTTGTTTCCTTTTTCTGAATAATGCTGCTAAAAATATTTCTGTACAATTCTCTTGGTTATATTTGTAGGAATGGAATTGCTTGGTCATACATTAACTCTATCTTCAACTTCTTGAGGATCTCCAGAACTGTTTTCCAAATTGACTACATTATTTTACATTCCAAAAAGGAGTATATAGTATTTTTGATTAATCTATCCTCACCTACTCTTGTTACTGTTCATCATTTTTTAAAATAGCCATCCCTTGGGGACCAGCAGGTGGCATGGTGGTTAAGTCACTGGACTCCCACATGGCTGACTGTGGTTTGAGTACCAGACCTGGTGGCTCACTTTCTCACTTCCTCTCTCTCTGATGAGCGTGTGTGCCCTGTAGCAAACTTTAAAAAAAGTAAATAAATGAATGTATGAATAAAATTAAATAATTCTAAAAAAATAAGCCATCTCCGAGGGTATGAAGTGGTATCACATTGTGACTTTGAATTGTAGTTTCATATAACCAGTGACAATGAGCATCTTTTCATGTATTTATTAATCATTTGTACATGAGATATTAAAAAAATTTCATGGAAAATGTGTACTACACCAAAGCTACAATAGACTTTACTTTTTCCCCCCCACACCAACAGAAACTTGTACTTTGATTCACACACTTTTTGAAGTTCCCTTGTATTTTTTGTTTGAAGAAATGTCTTAAGTCCTTTGATAACTTATTTTTTTGTTTTGTTTTTCAGACGGAGTCTTCCTATGTTGCAACTCTCCAACTCTCCTACCTCAGCCTCCCAAATGGTTGAAATTACAGGCATATGCCACAGTGCCTGGATCTTAGGGTAGGCAGAGAATTAAACTAGGGTCTCATATGTGACCCTCACTGGTAGAGTACTACTGGTGGCTACCAGTGCATGCCACTGTAGCTAGGTCTTGATCACTTTTTAAATTGGTTGCCTTTTTGTTACAGAGTTGCAAAGGTTCTTAATATTTTCTGGATTCTAGTCTTTTGTTAGAATATCATGTGCAAACATTTTCTCTCATTCTGTGTATTGTCTTTTCACTTTCTCAATCATGTCATTTACTACATAAAAGCTTTTCATTTAATTTCTAATTTATCTACTTTTTGTACTTATACTTTTGGTTTCATATCTACGAAACCATTGCCTAGTTAAAACTCACAAAGATTTACACCTATGTTTTCTCTCAGACTCTTATACTTTTAGTTATTACATTTAGGTCTTTGGCCCATTTTGAGATATACAAGTTAAATTTTTATATACAAGTGGGAAAGTCTTCAAAAAGTTCATAGAAAATGTGAATCATGAGGATCAGCAGATGGTTTAATGGTTACATCACTAGACTCCCACATAGCCAACTACAGTTCAAGTTCCAGACCTGGTGGCTTAAAATGCATGCTGGGTGCATGTGCATGCATGCCCCATATCCCCAGAAGAGAATGGAGGAGAAGGTGTTGTGGCATAGCCATCCCTCCAGGGGGTGATTTCTCACTTTCTGTCTCTCTTACTCTTTCTGGTGAGTATATGTGCCCTACAGCAAAAATCTCCCTTAAAAAAAAAAAAGAAAAAGAAAAAGTGAATTGTTTCTTTTCTCCACTGGATTGTCTTCTGAGAATTGTCAAAAGTCAGTTGGCTGTATGTTTTGGGGTTTATTTCTAGATTCTCTATTCTATTCCATTGGGTTATGTGTCTGTTTTTGTGCCAGTACCATGCTGTTTTGATTATCACAGCTTTGTAGTATATGTTGTGGTCAGGTAGTGAGATGCCTCCTTTTTTGTTCTTCTAGCAGAACTACTCTGGCGATATGAGGTGGGTAGGTAGGTATGTGTGTATGTACTTATATTTTTGCTATAGGATTTGTGTGCTCACCAGAGATAAGTTGGTGGCAGAGGGGGTGATAGTGAGAAAGTATTCCCTGCGGGGATGATAATACCCTAATTCCTTCTCCATTCTCTTCTTGGGAATTTGGGAACATAAGCACATACATGAATCTGGTGTGCTTGTCCAGTTACCAAGTCCAGGACTCAAACTTCACAGCTATGTGGAATCCAGATACCTTACCACTGTACCACATGTCTGGCCCAATACAAGGTCTTTTATGATTCCAGACAAATATTGTTTTTTCTATTTCTGTGAAGAATATGTCTGGTAATTTTATCAGAATTGCAATGAATTTGCAAATCAATTAAGAACTGACCTTTTAATCATATTAATCCTTCCAATCCACTTTTATGTATCATGTCCAACTTCTTTTTTCATTCTTCACAGTTTCCCTTGTAGTGGTTTTTTACCTCTTTGGTTAGGTTATTACTAAATATTTTATTATTTATTTATTTTTGTTGGCCATTGTAAATGGGATTGCTTTCTTCAATTCTCCCTCAGTCTGTTCATTGTTTGGTGTATAAAAATACTGTAGACTTTTGCATATTGATTTTTAAAAAATGTTTTATTTATTCATTAATTTATTTTAATTTGACCAGAGAGAGACAGAGAGAGAAGGAGAGAAAGTGGGAAAGCAAGCCACCAGGTCCAAAACTTGAACCATGGTCGGCCATGTGGGAGTGTCCAGCACCTTAACAACCATGCCACCTGCTGGTCCCTGCATACTGATTTTGTATCCTGCAACTTTACTGATATTTATCATTACTTATTTTTATCACTTCTAGGAATTTTCTTTATGGATTCTTCACAGAAACCTGAATGAACAACTTTTATGCCTCCATCTGAAATTCATTCACATGTCATCTTTGCAGTTCTTCAATTTATAATTGGAAATCCAAACCCCTACTGAAGTCCATCATGCTTTCCTATCTCATTTTTTTTTTCTTAAAAACACTCATTACTTTTAAATATTGTTTATTTTCTATTCCTACCAAAATGAATGTATTATAACTAAAGAATTCTTGATTCTGCTTTTGGATATCTCAGATCTTAGGAGACTATCTAGTACACAGAAAGAAGTCAATATTTACTTGCTAAATGAATAAATGTGTATGGTTTTCATAAGAATAAAGAGAAATAGCAGGAATTATGAACTATTAGGGTCTTTTGCCTGTTCACAGTATCTAAAATGTTTTTCATGCAATAATGAGGATATTAATGGAATATGAGGCAAAAGTTATTTGTCTGTGAAGAGAAAGAAAATGTAATCTGGAGGTAGGAGAGCCAGAATGAAGAGAGACTGTCTTAAAGATAAGAGAGAAAGGGGAGATTTGAGCATGTTTAAAGGATGGACTTGAATAAAAAAGAAGGAAACTGAATGACATAGGGCAGAGAGCACTAAGAGGTTTAATAGGAAATTGAGAATAAAGTACCATTGGCTTTGAAAATGTTAAACTTGAAGGGTAAAAATTATAAAGTAGAGATATCCAGTAGAGAACTAGGTAAAGAACAGGAGTTTGAGAAAGAGGCTGAAAATATACAATTCTGAAGTTTACAAGGAGGGAGTTGAAGCGTTCTATGGACGTGTACAGAAAATTATACTATTGACATTTTACTTACCTGATCTAGGTTTGAAAGACTGTTTGGATCTTTACTGAGAGCCTGGTACTGGCCCCTGAGCCTGTCACCTGCTGCAATTCTCCTGAACTTCTTGAGATCCACTACGTATAAGGCACTGCAAAAATGAACACTCCTTGATGGCCTGTGTTGTTTACGTAGTTTTACCTTTCCCCAGTGAATGTCTACAGTGATGGTATTAACTATAAATATTCTAGGGTCTAACTGATTAATTGTCGCATACATTTGCTTCCAATGTCTCATACTGTTTTGAAGGACTTTGAAGTCTGTTATAATTCTGATAAGGTCCATATTTTTTAGGGTCACATCAAATTTTTCCAAGTTGTCTTGGAACTCATGCTCCTACAAGGGAGTAACAACTTTGAAGATGGTATCTTCATTTTGTTATTTGATAAATCACGTTTAAATCTTCTGCAGTAGTTCAGAGAACATGCCCCAGCCACATTACTTGTGTTTAACTCTCGGTTCTGCTGTTATGTTCTAACAGGGTAAGAAGCCTGGCAAGTTACATAAATGCTGCATGCTCAGGTTCCACATCTACCGAATGGAGATAATAATAACCGTATCCCAAAATGCTGTCACAAAGGTTTTATGAATTGATATAAGTAAAGGTTAATAAAGATTACTGACCTGTGGGAGCAGCAGGTGGCATGGTGGTTAAGGCGCTGGACATTCCCACATGGCTGACCACGGTTCGAGTCCTCGACCTGGTAGCTTGCTTGGTTCTCATTTTCCCTCTTTCTCTCACTCTCTGTGTATCTCTCTGGTCAAATTAAATTAAAATAGATTAATGAATAAAAGTAAATCAATAATACTTTTTAAAAAATCTATAAAAAAATAAAGTTACTGACCTGTAATAAGCCAGTCCGTGTATCTATATACTTGGTTGTCATTACTCTCTAATTTCTAAGAAAACTAAATGTTGTGACTCAATACATTCTGTATTTACTAAAAGGGGTAAGAGTATGAATATTCTTACCTTATATGATATTTCCTTCTTAAAAGATGTGATGCCCAGTATCCTGTTTTCCAGAAATGATACCCATCCATTTCAGTGCGGCTATCACAAAACGGAGTATACCCATAGGGAGCTCCTTCCAGGTCAAAAGCTCAAAGTTCTTTTAAGTCATGTCTCACAATCTAAATAATTAAAATAGTGTCTCCATTCAAGACTATAAAATAACATAAGTACTTTTTTATGGAAATTTCAAATCCTTATGACCCTATCTAAGAGATAGCATGACTTCATTTTCCTCAGTGCTTTCATGTAAATTTACTAGATTTTATTTTTTTCCTTGTCTTTATAGATGAAAAGAAACCTAAAAATTTATAGTCCTGGTCTACATAATGGTGATCTTGCTTACCAATAAGACTACTTCATTATAGCATTTCTAAGCAAAATATTTTATAAAATGTACATTTTAGGAAGGGGTTAAATATTACACAAGTCAACAGTTCTTAGTTCCAAAATATATAAGTAATTTCAAATCATTTTCATGTTAAACATCCATTATTGTACATGAAGGATTCTTCAAAAAGTTCATGAAAAATGCATCTTACAAAAAACATACACATGAATTTCAACTACTTTTGCACCCAAATGAACTCATACTTTAATTCCATTTTTGCCACAGACTTTGAAGTTCCCTTATATGGGCAAATATTAGTTCGAGTCATAAAGAAAAAATTCTGATTATTTTAAATAACTTTAATGAAATACTAGTATGTTTTATTTATTATATATTTTTTGCTAGAGGATGTATGAACTCACCAGAGAGAGACAGACAGAGAGAGGGGGAGAAGCATTCCCCCATGGGAAATGCTCACGTGGCGCTCTTTTCTTCTCCATATCTCCCTTGTGGAATTTTGGACACATACACGTGTCTGTTGTGTTTCTCAAGCTGCCAAGTCTGGGACTTGAACCATGCAACTGGCTATCTGGGATCCAGCTGCCTTAAGCACAAGGCAGGGCTGCTTTAACAACAAGGCTACACAGCTCCCCAGTATGCTTTATTTTTTAATAGACTAAGTCTATTATAAAGTGTTAGTGTATATAATGGGCATGGTAGGAAAAGGAATATTAGGAATTATGCTTAAAAATGCTTTTTTCATCAATTATATTTATCTGTTTAGTTTTTTACTATAATGGCTCAAATTTATCAATCTGGAAAATAGCACAAAAATAACAGATTTAAAATATAAGTACATTCTTTCTTTCTTTTAATTTTTTTGAGACGTTTTTGCCATAGGGCCTGTGTGCTTGCCAGATAGACAGGGAGAGACAGAGGGACAGAAAGCGAGAACCCACCCCCCAAGGGGGGAATGGCCATGCCGCAATCCCTTCTCTTCCATTCTCCTCTCGGGATCTTGGGCACGCATGCACACGCGCCCGGCATGAGTTTAAGCCACCAGGTCCGGGACTCAAACTGCAGTCAACTACATGGGAGTCCAGCGACATAGCCATTACGCTAACTGCTGGTCCCTAGAATATAAGTACATTCTAATATGGGACTTGAATATACACGTTTTGCTCTAAGCATATAAATTCTAATTCATGTATTTAATTTGCAATACATATATATTTACATATTACTGTTCTTATAAATTCCGTGTATTTTTCAAAAACATTCTCATAATTATTACAAATGCAACGCAAAGAGGGAAGGAAAATGTCATAATTTTTTAAAGCATACATTTTTGGTAGGGTGTGTGTGTGTGTGTGTGTATGTGTGTGTGTGTGTGTGTGTGTGGTATTTTAGATGGGGTCTTGCTCTATCTCAATCTTCCTGCCCCAGTTTCCCAAGAAGCTGGGACTATAAGTGCATACCACCACACTCAGCTTTTAGGGTGGGCCAGGGATTGACCCTGGGCCTCCCACAAAGCCTTAGTATGCCAAGAAACAGCATGCACTAATATGGCTGGGCCTGGACAAAGAGTTGTTTTTGTTTGTGTGTTTTAAGAGAGATTTTTTGCTATAGGGTGCATGCTCTTGCTGGAGAGACAGAGACAGACAGAAAGCAAGAAATCACCCCCAGAGGGCATGGCAATGCCACAACTCCTTATCCTCCATTCTTCTCTTGGGGTCTTGGGCACACACATCCACACGCCTGGTGTGAGTTTGAAGCCACCTGGTCTAGAAGTTGAACCACGGTTGGCCATGAGGGATTCCAGCAATGTAACCATTATACCATCTGCTCGTCTCTGGACAAAGAGATTCTGAAGACTGAGAATCTTAATTTTTTATTTTGGCCAAATTTAGAACATTCTTTTCTTTAAGTGATAGAGGGATAAGGATTAGGTTATTCACTAATTAACAAAGAATGTTTTAGATTATAGAAGATTGAAGGAAAAGCTGGGTATAATTGTTAACTTTTATAGCAAGAAGAAATAACTAACTTTAAAGAAATATGGGCTTGCCTTTATATAGAGTCATGTAGCTACTCTTCTTATAACTAAAATAAAAATCCAGTATTTTATAGAGAGGAAACTGCCATGTCCCAAAAAGTAAATAGTACTTCTTAAAATAGCTGGAATTTTCCCATGAAATCTTGAGTATTTTTAAAGGTACTCTGCTCATATATTACAATCATGTCTTTACATTTTTATATGGCATGACAACAAAGATAAGAAACATGAGCAACATAAATGAAACCCTTATATTCAGATAGAGGCATAAAAAAGATGAGTGCTGCTAAAAACAAAGTTAATCTTATTACCTGGTCAGCATCAACCAAAATTATTTTTCTACTGCTGGTGGAAAAAGGACATCAAGGAAAAGAATTTTGTAACCCCAAATAATCCTTTGCTTTTCAGTCTGCTGATGAAGCCAACGGGGCCACCTGTATTGGACTAGTTCATACTGGAATCCATATTCCTTAGCCATGTGAGGAATTACTTCCTAAAAATGCATGCATACACAAAATCAAACAATATGTTCAAAGAAAAGAAACCACTTTTACTTAAGAGGGGAAAAATTAACATTTTAAAAGGCACATCTTATTAGAAACTGTTATAAACTATTTGTTAAAGTATGTAAAAATAACTACTTATTAATGAGATATAAAAATACTGACATGAAAATACAAGTACATATAAAACTATATAATTTAATTAAAAACTAAGTACAGTATATTAACTGGCAAATTTATGAACTAAAGTAGCTCTTTCCATACTCTTACTACTAATGTAATGTTTGACTTTAAAAAATTTCAATACAAAGTAAGCCTCTAGATCTTGGAAAACCTAACTTTTGAATAGTTTTACATACAGAAGAACATGTTGGTTGGCCAGAGAGATGCAAAGATGAAGAAAACACACAAAAATACACAAAACGAGTTGTAAATTGAAAAAATTAGAAGTTTTTTTAAACGGTTATTTTATTTAAATTTATTATTTTATTTATTTTAATTTGACCAGAAAAGGGCAGAGCAAGCAAGAAATAGAGAGAGAGAAAGAGAGAGAGAGAGAAAGCCATTAGGTCCAGACTCTAACTGTGGTCGGCCATGTGAGAGTCCAGCAGCCTTAACCACCAAGCCACCTCTTGGACCCCCAAAATTAAAAAATTTTAAAAGAAAATTTTTGAGGGAAAGAACAAATAACAAAAGGAAGAAAACTACAAGGGGGCTTCAAAAAGTTTATGGAAAATGAAAGTGTAAATTTATTTAAGTGTAAAAAAATAGAAATCCATGCCTACGTCCTGCATAATACACATTTTCCATGAACGACTGAAGACCCCTCGTACTATTTCAGGTAAGGTATGACTATAGGCCATACTATGGAACAAGGCATTCTTATCTTGACATAGCACTATTTTTCTTGTGAATAATATCATTTTCCTGCTAAGAGAATCTTCAGACAGTATTATCTCAATTTATGGAGACTGTTTGGCTACTAGGATAACATGTTAAAGATTTAGTCAAAAATAGTAGTATAATTTCCTGTCTATATTTATTGTTATTATTTTTTCACCTTCTTTGTTTTGTCCAAATGAGCATAAGAGGCTCTGCTGTCAGTGAAGGGGTGGGATGGGCTGTTACATGAAGGTTAAGCACCTGGATTTGAGAGGAGAAAGTTTGGGCACGAATCTCAGACATGCTCCTAATTAGCTGGTTTATCTCAGGTCTGTGCTATAAGGGATAAATTCTGTTCAAAGAAAGATGTGGCCCTTTCTCCTGGCTCCTCTATCCTTAAAAATGTCCTACTTGATAAGAATGCCTTTGTTTACCTGGGGACCACAGGCCATGACAGATACTCTATGCTGACAATGTGTATATAATGCCATGAGCCACAAGGCACCAATACAACCTCTGGAGGGCATAGAGGCTAAGGTCAGTCACACAGGATGTCAGTCAGGTCTATACAGCCGACTCCTAGAAAAATCTGGACAGCAAAGTTTAAATGCGCCTTCCTGGTAGAATCAATGCCCCATGAGAACCATCACACACTGCTGCTGGGAGAGAGTAGTGCTGCCTGTAGTCTCCACAGGGGAGACAGCTGGAGAGTCCACATCTGGTCTCTCCTGCACCTTACTCCCCAGGCCTGGTTTCTGATTTTATATGTATCCTTTTGCTGCAATAAACTGTAACTGTGAATAGAACCGCTTTCCTGAGATCTGTAAGTCCTTCTAGTAAGTTATTTAACTTAGGTACCAGTCAATTACAGGCCCATTATGAATTTCTGAGTCTGTCTTTTTATTTTTAATCATGTAGGACAATTAAATAATGTTGGTAAACCACTTAGCAACAGGCCTTGAAATATTAAGGAATAAAAGCATGATTGGCTATTTTTACATCTGCTTTTGGTCTAGATAAAGAGGATTCCTTTGATCTGCTTCTGAATGAGACCCCATGATGGAATCTGATTACTTCACAGTGACATGAGGAAGCAACAACACAATTTATAGCAGGAGTGGGGGTTGAGTAATGGATAACAGATGTTGGCCACCTGAAATTTCTAAATGTAAACTGTCTCAGACCACAGCGCCCCAATCCCAGAGCCACCAATGCTGCAAAAGACAAAAAAGCTCTGCTGTTCTCAGAACTGTAAAACTATTTTCTTGCTACAATTTTCATATTTTCTTTATACTACTACTGTTCCTGCCTATCTCTGTAAAAGTGTGACAGAATCCAGTTATTTTAACTGAAAATCTGTATGTATGTACTATTGCCAAATTTTACTTAATTCTTCATCATCGTGAAAAACCACTAATCATTTTTATTTTTATTTAAAAATATACCATCTTCTAAGTATCTCTTTAAATAAAATTTTTCTTAAGCTAGATTAAAAATACCCAAGTTTAAAATTTATTGAAAAAAGTTATTTCTACAAATATATATTTCAAAAGGATCATTCTGAGAAGAGAAATGCTACGTGAACTTACAATGATACAAAGACTTCAGTATTCTAACATGGACCACTCTTTGAAAAGAGTAATATACTTACTTTAAATGTTGGTGAGAGAGAGTTTTTTAGAAACCAGAATTTCACTGGTGTTTTTGTGTTACATAAAACAGAAAGCATCATAATTCTGTGTAAAAGAACATTAAACCCAGTATACGTTAACATTAACAGAAATTCATCCTACTTTTTAAAAGACTTTAAGTATCTAAAGGTATGAATTAGAAGTTTTTCACTATGAATTATGGAGAAGCCACTGAAATATCTTCAAATATTAGATTGATCAAGAATATAACCTATAAAGATGGGAAAAATATATCTCATTGATATAGGCTAAATTGATTGGTCTTTATTTGTTCTGTTTTTTATTTGCTGACAAGAAAGCTGCTCTGATACAGTCTTGTGGAGCTAAATTAGACTCTAACATTAGCTCTCTTACTATGTGATTCACAGTGGGTCTGCAAAGCTTTGAGAGTCAAATGATCTGTCTATACTGATACATTTACTGAAGCAATTTCATTTGCTTTGCTATCCTATATTTCTAAATAGAAAAGATCTAAAGTTCCACTTTAAAACACCAACATTGCAAATCAAATATTTTTTGGAGCATCCTCTATAACCCTTCTACATAAACTACTAAAAAATACCTCTCTGAACTTTGTAAATACGCTTTCCTCCTCTCATTGCCCTTCTTCCCTTTTATAAAACAAGGTATTTCTTCACTGGAAAACAAAAATCTACTATGTATCTATTTTTCTTACCCATCTCCTTGTTACAAAATATGTCTATTTTCTAGCCTTAAAGAAAAACCAGTAACCCACATCAAATCAAACTAATGAAATTTCACTGTATTTAAATAATATACTTTCTTCATAATTGTAAGTAAAAATTAAAAAGCAAGGTTAATATCAGTATATACTTTGTTACTATTTGGATAAAAGGGACTAAAAAATAAAAAATATTTATTTGCTGATATACGCAGTATATCTTTGGCAGGATGTAAAAATACTACTACTGTTTTCCTGTGGGAAAATGAACAAATCAATTGAGTACCAGAGAAAGAGAGCTGGGAGATTTTCTTCTTTATTATATATATTCTTTTATTTTTCTCTGAACTTTGGACTGTGCAAATGTATTACTTTTCAAAATGATACAAAAATATCTACCTTAAAAAGTGTTCGTACAGATGGCCAGAAGCAACTGAAAAAAATGTTCAGGACGTCTTTTTCTTCTTTGTTTTCTTTATACAACCTTATTGTGAAACGGAATAAAAAATTAGGAATAGACAGTTTCAAATAAACTTTATATGCTCAAATAAAACACTGTTTGATAAGCAATAAAAACAGGCACACCTTTCAAAAGGAATAGTTACTAAACTGTGAACAAATTCTTATCCTAACAGTTATGAGTTATTGATATTATATACATGACAACTAATATCACTTGTTTTTGTGAGTTTTTTTTTAAATCTATTAATGTGAAATATAATTGTACTGTTTCAAGGTTAGTTTTTATCTTTTTGTAAGGAATGTCTACAGTTTATAAGCCCTCTGACTAGATACAGTCTTCCCATTATGAAGGTCCTAGACAGACACTCTCAAAAATGCCCTGATTTAATTTCCTTTCCTTCAAATCATCCCAAAATGAATTGTTTTGATTCTTTGTCAATATCCAGTTCAATGCACATACTGAGTACATAAATCTCTCTCTTTTTACCAAATAAGGGGTCAACTATAGAAAAAGAAGCCTAGATGGGACAAAATCCAAAATGATGGGAGAAAAATCTGCTAAGGCTGTTGCCTTATGTGGTCTAAAATTTCTATTTCTCATCTTTGATGAAATGATCCGTTATTTACCATAATTCAAATTAAGTTAAGCTCTCTCAAATGGACTTTCAAAGTCTCTACATTGTGAATCTACAGCAGGCTGATCTTGGTTTTGATCTGTCCTATATCCTCTGCCCTTCTAGTAACCACAACCTGGTATTCTGGGGGAGTCATTCCTCCTGTAGTTTCATTTTATGAGGTTTAAGTGGGACAAGCCTTCCCACTGGCACTAGAGGTAGGCCTATGTCCCCAAGTCTGGTCAGCCGGAATCACAGTGATCAGTTTAGTTTGGGACCCATGGCTAGAGCTGAACCAATGAGTCAGCTATTGAATATCCTGGTGGGCATTTGGAAAGAGGAAACATTTCCACTGGAGATGGTAAACAGTTACTTGTAAAAGTCCGAAAATGAAGGAGACACAGAACTATTAATACTAAGAAATGGAGAAAGTTTCCAGACATTACTACTGGAATGTCCAAAATCAGATCTACTCCTGGATTCTTTAGATATGTGAGCCCATATTTTCTTTTTTTTGATTGATGATATAACTAGTATAGGCCCAACCTCACTTACAGATTTCGTATTATATTGGATACTGCAGCTTAGCTGGCTACTTTGAGTTCTTTGAGGAGAATACCCAATCTTTCCATCTCTCTGCAACTTGGTACCTACACTCTACCTCCAGCTTTTCAAAATCTGCCTGTCCTTTAAAACACATTTTAGCCACATGCTTCTCCATGAAGTTTCTCCTGATGGTCCTTCTGACTAGATATATCTTTTTTCTCCTTTGGTTTCTATGTAACACTTTATTTTCAGTTGCCTTACAACTCTTGCTTCCTATGCTGTTAAGATTTATGTATCTATCTTATCCCTCCTAAAGAAGAGGATCTGTGTTCTAATTTTTACCATCCTCAGGTTTTCCACATACTATCACTGTATTGGGTCATTGGAAAACTCATGACATATTTTTCTATGCAAAAATTCATCATGACTTTTCTGATGACTCTGAAGTTTTGTGGTAAAATATCATTAGCAATTACCTCTTAATGGAATCCCACACTCCTTTTCTTTTTTCATCTTTTTCAGTAAGGATATCTTCCTTAATTCTATCTGGTTTCTTTTGTACCTAGATAACATCACAGAGAAAAAATTTAGAATTAGCAGCTTTATGGTCAGAGACTGAAACACGCTGGGCAAGATTACTCTTCAAAATCAATCAGCCAGGTGCAGTAAGTCAGGTAATATCTCAGCACAAAATTACAATCTAACCTTCAACTACCAATTTAGATTCCTGTTTTTAGTTTTTTTGGTGGTTACCTCTATACTGCTAAAAAATGTGTTGACATCTATATTTATTGACGAACTAACTCCAGATATAATAAGATTAGTCTGTATTCACAGAGTTTAGAGGTTATTCACTTTGTGATGACAGAGAAGTAGCTCACTTTTATCACCCCTCCTTTTCTCTCTTGGTCTGGAAGTTCTGGAAGTAACATTTATATTTTCAGCTTTTCCACCGAATATCTTCTATAACTTGAAATAATATTTCCATTTCCCATTCTTTATTCCAACTCTTTCAACAGTTGCTCCTGTGTACTGTTTATATGGCAAGGATACTAATACCTCTATCCTTTCCCTCTGCCTCCCAACTTGCATTGGTTAAACCTTTACTTTAGCATTTGTAAATACAGGTAACACTTATGTTTAGTTTGGTAAACATAAATGTGTCCTTTGCATTTTGCTATAGTGATTCTAAAACTTGAAAATTAGCGACTAGTGCTTATTATGGCAATGCGAATAGTATCCTTTAATGGGTCTGAAAGCCTACCAAAGCTGTACTTCCTCTGGGTAGTTTCAATGACAAGAATATCAGAGGAGACACTTGCTAATTCAAACACATTCTTCCTTACATTTCACCAAAAGAGAAATATTTTTCTTGGAATTTTAATGTCTATTATTTTTTTTCAGGGAGATACACATATCTGTACGTGTCTTCATTACCCATACACCTAATATTGTACAGTTTATTACTCATGTTAAATAGTTGTCTGGAATACCTACCTTCCTGGAGACATTTTTTAGAGCTCAACAATTAATTACCTGTTTATTTCTGAACTTTCTTTTCACTGGTTTACAGATTAGTTTCACCGTCTCTTAAACTATCTTTTTTCTTGGTCTTCAACATCATTATGAGAGCAAACCCACCTCAAGAAGTGGCGTGAAAATTTTTTTCTAAATCTTCACACTTCAGAAAATAACTTTATTTTGACTTCACATTTGATTAAGAAATTGGCTACATACCCTAGGTTCCAAATAATCCCTCCCCTCCCCCCAGAATACTACAGGATCTGGCTGTCTTTTAACATCTATTTTGAAAATGAAAAGTCTGATGGGGGACCAGCAGTTAGTGTAATGGCTATGTCGCTGGACTCCCACGTAGTCAACCGCAGTTTGCGTCCCAGACCTGGTGGCTTAAAACTCACGCCGGGCGCGTGTGCATACGTGCCCAAGATCCTGAGAGGAGAATGGAGAAGGGATTGCGGCGTGACCATCCCCCATGGGGGGGGGAGATTTCTCGCTTTTTGTCTCTCTGTCTCTCTCTGTCTGTCTAGCGAGCGCACGCAGCCTTTAGCGAAAACCAAAAAAAAAAAAAAAAGAAGTCTGATGCTGGTGTTAGTGCCATCCTATTATAGTGACCTGCCCTTTCTCTTCAGTAGCTATTAGGGTCTTATGTGGGACATTTTAACTCATCTTACTTTTGTGGACTATTTTGACATTCACATTTATCTCTGTCTTTAGGTATAGGATACTGTCCTGTCTCCATTTTCTCTGTTCTTTCTTTCTGGAATTCCTTAGTAGGATAGTGAACTTCATGGGCTCATCCACTATGCTGCTTATCTTCTAACTCTTTTCTGCCTTTTTGTTGTAATTCTGAGATATGGATGGTTAGCAGATAAAATTGTATTACAAAAAAAATTGTATTAGGAAACAAGCGACATTGTCATTATGCCAACTGCTGGTCCCTAAAAAAGTCAGTATTTAAAAAAAAAAAAAAAAAAAAAAGACCAGGGGAAAGGGGGGAGGGAATTCAAGTAATTGTATGGCTAGGTCATAGAATGGTTGTAATTGCTATTTTTTATCAAGTCTTAAGAATGTGTAGCCTTCAGCCAGCCAAGGTGGCACAGGCAGTAGAGTGCCATTGCTCAATGAAACATCCACATGGGGAAGTCTAGGGTTTGGATCCTGGATCCACCTGAACATGCCTGAGAGCTGGAAGGCTGGGGAAGGATCATGGCATGAGAACCTGTTAGGGGACATGCCTCTCTCACTGCCTCACGAAACAAATTCACCATTCAACACACTCTCAGGAAGTATTTTTCAAAGCCAAACTAGCTTATACTCATAACAGTCCTATAAGGTAGGTTCAATTGTTATCCTCATTTTACAAGTAAGGAAGATGAGACAGACAGAGGTTAAGTCATTTCTCTAAGTTCACACAGCTAGTGGATAACAGAGTCAGTTTTAAGCCCACTCCTGTTACCTTAGATTTTCTTACTCCATTCTCCATGTCTTTTTTTTTTTTTTTAAATACTGACTTTTTTAGGGACCAGCAGTTGGAATAATGACCATGTTGCTGGACTCCCATTTAGTTGACTACAATTCGAGTCCTGGACCTGGTAGCTTAAACTTATGCTGGTCGCATGAGCGTGTGTGCCCAAGATCCTGAGAGGAGAATAGAGGAGAAGGGATTGTGGCATGGCCATTCCCCTTGGGGGGTGATTTCTTGCTTTCTGTATGTCTGTCTCTGTCTTTCTGGCGTCTCTGGCAAGTGCACGTGTCCTATAGCAAAAACCTTTAAAACAATATTTTTTTTAATAATTATTTTACTTAACTTTATTTATTTATTTATTTAAAATTAACCAGAGAAGGGGTGTGGGAGAGAGAGAGAGGGAGAGAGAGAGAGATTGATTGATTGATTTATTGATTGAAAGCAAGCCACCAGGTCTGGGACTCCAACTGTGGTTGACCATATGGGAGTCCAGTGCCCTTAACCATCATGCCACCTGCCGGCCCAGTATTCTCCATGTCTTTTAGGCTATATTTTGTCTTTTTATTTATTTTTAGTTTTGCTATAGAATACATGTGCTTGCTAAAGAGAGAGAGAGAAATCACCCTCCTGATAGGGAGAGAGGGGATGGCCATATCACAAACCTTTCTCCTCCATTCTCCTCTTGGAATTCTGGGCATGCAAACATGCCTGGCATGCTTTTTCCCGCTAGACCTGGGACTCAAATCACACAATCAGCCATGTTGGGATCTAGATGCCTTAACCACCATGCTGATCCACATGCTATATTTTCTTTCTCTACTATTCCTGTAACATTTGGGATGGTTTCTCTGGTCTATCTTCCAAATTGAAAATTCTCTCTGTAGCCATGTTAAACCCATTCACTGGTTCTTAATTTTTGTAATATATTACTTGGTCTCAAAAGTTCTATTTAAAACAAAAAATCTGATACACACATTTTTATGATTTGCTTTCTTCTGAAATTATTTTCAAGCTTGTCTTGTATTTCATTAAATACAAACATAGTTGTTTCAGAGTCTGTGTCAATCATACTAACATGTCTTCTTATGTCTGTCTTCTGTTGTTTCTCCTGGTTTTCATGTGTTTGGTTATCTTTGACCACATGCTGGCTTCTATACTTGAAAAATCTGACTTAAGCTTAGGTTATCACAACTTTTTTTTTTTTTTTGAGAGAGAGAGATTTTGACTATAGGGCGCCTGCACTCTCCAGACAGAGAGACATAGAGACAGAAAGCGAGAAATCCCCCCCCAGGGGGGATGGTCACGCCGCAATCCCTTCTCCTCCATTCTCCTCTCGGGATCTTGGGCACGCACGCACACGCGCCCGGCATGAGTTTTTTAAGCCACCGGGTCCGGGATGCGAACCGCGGTCGACTACGTGAGAGTCCAGTGACACAGCCATTACGCTAACTGCTGGTTCCCAGGTTACTACAACTTTAATACAGAGATTCCTGAATGTTTCTGCCAGATACCTGTATGTCGTAGCAATCTGAAACTGTTTCAGCAAAATTCTTTGAATTATATAAGTGACACAATTTGGACCAACAGACTGTGAAACAGTTACTATGTTCTACCATTATTCCAAGGATATATTATAAAGGGGGTTTTCTGATAGATTACCCACTTTATGTTGGCTCTGGGTTTTAATTGCTATCTTAATCACCTGGAAAATGCCAGGATGGGAAATGGTCCCAGGGCAAGGGTTGTTTCGTTAGGCCAAGAGAAGATTCTGTGCTTGCTTCCTTCACTAGGCTTTTCCTTTTCCTTTCATTTTGCTCTTGGATTTCCTTACTATCATTATTTCATATTGTGAGTTTCTTATTGCTATTAAGATTTTGTTTAAAAAAACATTTTACCCAACAGTTTTTATTAGTTTTAAACAGAAAGAGTGGTCCAAAACTACATCTGCTATAATTAAAAACTCCTTTTTCACTTTCTTTCTAGAACTTTTTCTTTTCAGAGCTAACTTTTCAGTCTGTGTTCTTAATCTCATTTCTAGAGCTAAATTTGTAACATCATCTGATTAAAGATATGGTAGATCTAATAGCTAAATCATATCTTAAAAATAACCATTCTTTCTCTCCTATCTTCAAGTTCTGTTCTCCATTCATGAAATTAATCTTTTTCTTTCCCTTTACTACTAGAATTCTAATACAAAATTTTAGATGGCAAAACTGTAAAATTAGTTGTAAAATAAATGTAAATTAACTACTTAAGGACAAAAAGAATAATTCTTAATATTAGAAACAAAGGCTATAAAAAATTCTGCTTCACTCACTTGCACTTCAAGGATCTTGCTTTTGAAGCTGTTTAATACAACAATGACATGTCCTAATTCTGGTTCAGAATCAGTTCCTTTATGCGTGAAAGTAGAAAAACACAAATATCTGTAATTAATTAAAGAATAAACATATAATTATAAAGGTATAGCTAGAATAAATTCATTTGGTAATAAACCTAAGTACAATATTGCATGTGTATATATGTTCGCTTTCATTAGTCAATTTAGAAATAATACACTTGTATTTTTGAAATGAGCCAATAAATTAAACTTAATACAAATTAAAGTTACAAAAAAGTAACTCTGTAAATTCCAATTTATCATATCTCTAATAGAGTGCAATGATAATTAAAACGTGAAATATTTTCTAGACTTAGAAGGTGTTTATATATCAAAGGAATCCTATAGTCTTCAACATCTTATAAATATCCACTAGCCTTCTTTCTTTCTTTCTTTCTTTCTTTCTTTCTTTCTTTCTTTCTTTCTTTCTTTCTTTCTTTCTTTCTTCCTTCCTTCCTTCCTTCCTTCCTTCCTTCCTTCCTTCCTTCCTTTCTTTTCTTTCTTTTCTTTTCTTCTTTCTTTCTTTCTTTCTTTCTTTCTTTCTTTCTTTCTTTCTTTCTTTCTTATTGTAATAGGCACATACACTTGCCAGAGAAAGAGAGAAGAAAATACCCCTTAATGGGACATTGTCATGTGACAATCCCTTCTCTCCATTTCTCCATCCTACTAGAATTTTGGACAAAGATGCACACATACCCAACATGTTTTTCAAGTCATCAAAAACTGGGATTCTAAATGCTGTCAGCCATGTGGATTTGGTTCTCTTAACCACTAAGCTGCAGGAGGCCCTCCTCCAGCCATTTTCAGATGCCAATGTTTGAAACACATTGTTAAGCTCATGAGACTGAAAATGTGTTTATGATGTCCATTTGCATCACTTTAAGATTTCTATTTTATATTGCATATAATGCAGCACATTTTCTAATTTTCAAAATTACTTCAAAAATCAAATATGACAGCTGTGTTCAGTAACTCTCAAACTATTCTGACTACGCACCAAAAATTTTATTGTTAAAAATATTTGGGGGGGAGGAATCAACAGATGGCATACTGGTCACATCATGAGACCCCCACATGGTCAACCATGGTTCAAGTACTGGACCTGGTGGCTGGAAATTCATACTGTGTGTGTGTGTGTGTGTGTGTGTGTGTGTGTGTGCGTACATGCCCAAATCCCAAGAGGAGAATGGAGGAGACTGGATTGTGTGTGGCCATCCTCCCTGGGGAGTGATTTCTCACTTTCGGTCTCTGTCTCTCTGGTGTGTGAACATGCTCTATAGCAAAAATTGCTTTAAAAAACATTATGTGACCAGCTAGTGGCATGGTGGTTAAGATGGCTGGAGCCAGGATGGCCAAGATTTGAGTCCAAGACACAGTGGCTTGAAAAACACGCTGGGTGAATGTGCATGTATGTCCAGAATCCCGAGGGTTTTGTCCAGCGATATAGCCATTACGCCAACTGCTGGTCCCTAGACCTTAATTCAAAAACAGTAAAAAGAGATAAAGAAGGCCATTACATGTAATGTGAATATATATGGACCTGAAATTCATTTATTAGTTCTGTAACATTTTAGTGGGATCCTTAGAATTTTCAATGTATAAGATCATACATACATGTTTGCAAACACGGATAATTAGATTAGTCCTAACTTCGATGTCTTCTATTTCTTTTGCCTGCTTAATAGCTCTAGTTAGGACATATAGTACTGTGTTGGATAGAAATGGTGAGAATGGACATCCTGCTATTGTTCCCGGTTTAGAGGAAAAGCTTTCAAATTTCACCACTGAGGATGATAGCTTTGGCTTGTCACAGATGACCTTTAGTCATTTCAAGATTTTATTTAATTTATTATTATGTTAAAATTTGCTATAAGGCACATGTGCTTACTAGATAAGAGACAGAGAGAGGAAATGCGAGAAACCAAACCACCAGGTCTGGGACTCAAATGTGGCTGGCCATATGGGAGTCCAGAGCCTTAATCACCATGCCACCTGCTGGCCCCCATGACTTTTAGTGTTTTAAGGTCCATTCCCTGCTAATTTAATTTGTTCTGCATTTTTATCATTAGACATGTTGAATTTGTTAAATGCTTTTTTAGCATCTGAGAAAATCACATAGTTTTTGTCCTTCATTCTGATAATGTGGTATGTCATGATGTAGATCTGCAAATGTTCAACCATCCCTGCATCCCTGGGATAAATCCCATTTGATCATAGTGAATGATTCTTTTAATGTGCTGTCGAATTTGTTTTGGTAGCATTTTGCTGAAGACTTTTGTGTCCATGTTCATCAAGGATATTGTCCTATGATTTTTGTGTACTGTCCTTGCTTGGCTTTGGTATCACAGTAATGCTGGCCTTCTAAAACTAGTTTGGAAGTATTCCTTCCACTTCTATTTTTTGGGAGGGTATTGAAAAAAGTTGGTATTGATTCTTTAAAAGCTTGGTAGAAATCAGCAATGAAACTGTCAGCTCTTGGGCTTTTCTTTGATGGGAGACTTTTTATTTGTTATTCAGTTTCCTGACTCTTTATTGGCCTGTTCAGATTTTGTACTTCTTAATAATCCAGTATTAAAAGGGTACACCTAGGAATTTTCCCATTTCTTTTAGGTTATCCAATTTGTTGGCATATAATTGTTCATCATCTTTTATGATCTCGTGTATTTCTGTGGTATTACCTGTAATGTTTCCTTTATCATTTATTTGAGTCTTCTTTTTTCTTAGTCTAGTTAAAGGTATATCAATTATGTTTACTGTTTTGAAAAAACAACTTAATTTTACTGATCTCTTCTGTTGTTTTTCTTGCCTCTAGCTCATTCATTTATGTTCTAATATTTATTATTTCCTCCCTTCTATACATTTTGGGCTTAGTTTCTTCTTCTTTCTTCCTTTCATGAGCCAGAGGAACAGAGACAGCCCCAGTAGGGCCTTCATGCTGTGATCCACTCCCAGCCTTTAGCCAGTCTCAAATCATGAGCAGTCACATGCCTGGCATACTTAGGGAGATCTTCAGACTTGAATTAGGAACATGCTCATATGAAATTGCCTCACAAAGCTTTGTGTTTTACCACACCACCACCACTGATCCGCTATTCTTGTCTAATTCCTTAAGGTCTATTAGGTGGGACTGCACCCTGGATCTGCTGGAGCTGAGGTCATAGTGACTGGCCTGGTCCTGCCTAGGGTAAATGTAAAGCCTTGACCCAACAGGGCTAGGAGTCTAAACCCTCGAGTCATTTGGAGTGACCTGGCTCTGGGGTGAACCTAAAGCCGTAGGCTGTAGGACTGGGTGGACAGGCCAGAAGAGGCTGGTCTGTCACTGGAAGGAGTCAGGAGCTTGGGGCTCTGGAAGGTGAAGTGGGCTTGAAGACTGCTATGGTTTGAATGTTCCCCTACCAAAACGCACGTTGACATTTAATTGCCATTGTTAACAGTGTTATGAGGTAGGGCTGTTAGGAGGTGGATTAGGTCATGGCAGAGGCTGTCATGAATGAATTAATGATGTTTTTGCAGAATTAGGTTAATTATTGCTGGAGTAGGTTCCTGACAAAAGGGTAAGTTGGGCCATCATTCTGTCTTGTGTGCTCACTGCTGCTCTCTGCTTTTCTGCCATGAAATGACCCTCACTAGGTGTCAGCACCATGCTCTTAGACATCCCAGTCTTTAGACTATGAGTCAATAATACTGTTTTTAAAAGATTATCCAATATGTGGCATTCTGTTACAGCAGCAGAAAAGAACTAAGAAAGAGGGAGAGACCAAGTCTTCCAAGCAGGCCTTGTACCTGAATCTGGAGGATTATGTTTGAAGCCTGGTGGCTCAGGACTCAGGTACTGGCCTGGATTCTAGAACTGTGGAAGCCTACCTGGTACTGGGTTTTAACATGTCCCCACAGAGGTTCAAGACAAGGACAAGTACTTCTTTTCCTCTTTCTCCCAAGAGGAGAGTATTTCTGTCTAGACTGTGCTGCTTGGGGTTAAGGAAGTTGTGGCACAGGGGATATAAAACTCTTTCCTATACCTTTCAATGCATCTTTTTTTATTCTTGTGCTTTGCCCAGGTGTTACAATACTGTGCCTGGTTTGCTAAGCTCTTATTAAGGTATTTTCATGTACAGACATCTGTTCAAATCGATGTTTATGCAGCAAGATGAGCACTGGAAAGTTCTGTACCTACCATCTTGCAGACATCTGGATGTAACCCAGTCTTGCTAACAATTTGTTTCTCTGATTATCTTGCTTATTCACATAAAAAACATAGACATTTACAAGAGGTTCATATAACTCACCCAACTATTTGATAAATATCCTCAGATTTTCCTTGGCGTAATTTCAGAATCCAAGCACCTGGGTTGGCTTTTAATTGAAAATATCCCTTTTAAGATTAGAAAAAAGTGATCACTGAAGTATATGACTAAACACATATTCAATTGTTCACCAAAGACTATACATTGATCAACCAAGAAGGGGTTTACTAACTGTAGAACGAATACATTCTACAACTTGATTCCAAGGAAGGAGATTTTATAATAACATGAAAAAAGCATATTCTGAAAGTATAATTCTCCCCATTTTTATTTAATTCCCTTGACACTCCAACTCAGTTTTGTTTACTGTAAGCTATTCAGCAACAATGTAATAGAATAAGGATGATTACATCCGATGTTCGCCTTGGTGGCACCTATAGCAAAAATCCTCCCTCCCCCCAGAAAAAAACTGGTCTAAGGTAACCAAGCTAGAAGTTATTGAGCCAGGATTAAAATAATGTCTGATACCAGTATATCTAAATAAATCAACAAATGAGCAAACACCCGTCAACTCTAATGTATGGACCAGGATCCACAGCTCTGCAGTGAAGGAACCTGGATCACACATAGTAAAGGGTGAAGACCAAAGCACATAATGATTTGTGTGTGTGTGTGTGTGTGAGTGACATTAGCTGTACCCCAACCTTGTGATGTATGTACCAATATCAGCAGACAGGAGAGATGTGAGCATAAATGGGTGCTCTGTGACATTAAATAGTTGGAGGACCTCTTCAAGACAAATTGAGATGGAAAATTCCCAAAGAATCTGCTTCAGTTTGCTGCTGCCCTGGAGCTTTCACTTCAGACTTGGCAAGAAAGCAAAGTTATCATCTACTGCCTTTCTTGTAATTTTTATACTTACTTACAAATTAATCAATATGATTCATTAGAAATGTTTAATTCAAATGCATAATTTTTAAATATAAAGCTATAAAGACAAAAACAAAGTGGAAAGAGGGAAAAATAGAAAGTATCTGCAGACTAGATGTTTATATAAACATCAACACTTGGCAAGAAAGCAAAGTTATCATCTACTGCCTTTCTTGTAATTTTTATACTTACTTACAAATTAATCAATATGATTCATTAGAAATGTTTAATTCAAATGCATAATTTTTAAATATAAAGCTATAAAGACAAAAACAAAGTGGAAAGAGGGAAAAATAGAAAGTATCTGCAGACTAGATGTTTATATAAACATCAACACATTGCTTTCTGTTTCTTCTCCTCACAATTCTTTTTCTAAGAAAGTATAATCTGTGCTTTAGATTAAACACCACCTCCTAAAAACATGCCCCTATCTCCACAAATATCTTTTAGAATGGGTGAAATTTCCAGTTGCTCTCAGATTTTCCTTTTTGCAAATGCTTATTTTAGGGACACAGCTTCTCTACTTTATATGAACATAACCAAACATGAAAATATTGGGTCATTGGAAAACTCATGACATATTTTTCTATTGATATGTTTTTCTAAGCAAAAATGCACATGACTTTTCCTACAACCCAAAAAAATCTAATAAGTTATCTCCACACAGAGTAAAGGCAGTGATGCTATCTATATCTAATTTTATTTTATCTAATAAGGTTTTCAACTATAATTAAGTTGAATTAGTTGTTGAATTATTACCATTCTATTAATGAACTTCATACATATTTAGTCTGCAGCCCAGAATACTTTTAGCGATTTTGCAAAAAAGAACTATTTTCAAGGGACAGTCTTGAAAGATGTGAATGTTTAAAATTAGAAGGAGATCATGGGACCAGCAGTTGGCGTAATGGCCGTGACGCTGGACTCCCACGTAGTTGATTGTGGTTCGAGTCCTGGACCTGGTGGCTTAAACTCACACCGGGCGCATGTGCATATGTGCCCAAGATCCCGAGAGGAGAATGGAGCAGAAGGGATTGACGCATGGCCATCTCCCTTGAGGGTGATTTCTCGCTTTCTGTGTCTCTCTGTCTTTCTGGTGAGCACATGTACCCTATAGCAAAACCCTCTCCAACAAAAGAAGGAAAAAATTAGAAGGAGATCATAGAGATCATCTAGATTATTTCAAAAGATTGTAGTGATCTTTTATTTACTCCACTTTCTCTTTACTGGGTAAACAGCCACTGTTGTTTTAGGTATTTTGGTATCTTTTTGATATATCCTGTGATAAAATATAACTGGATTACCTTTGGATCCAGTTCTAATAATGAGTTCGAAGAACAGCAAAACTAAACTCGAGGTAAAAGCAACTGACCCTTTTATTTTTTGGCTTTCTTGTAACCATTTTTATCACCTTTAATAATGGCATAAATGCTGGTTGTATTACAAAGTTCTGTAGTTACAATTATGTGTATAAAATTCTACTAAGGAGAATTTTTCTACATTAAGTTTTTCTTCTTTCCAGGTGTCTATGTAATGTTCAAGAATTAGATGTAACAAGGAGCATGTGTGCAAATTCGTGTACAGTGACAAATCCTTCCTTGCTAATCTCATCTTTGCCTTGGGTGCACTTTATCCTATCACCTAAAACTCCTTTTTTTTCTATTCTAGCAAATTATTTTGTTTGTCATATTTGTCTAGAGTAAGTTGCAGGTAATATTCTAAATATATAAAATACACAATTGAAAAGAAGAGCTTAAGCTGAGAGGTGGTTAACTTTTACAGATACTAAAATTTACAATTTCCTTCTGTTTACTCACAAAATCTGTGAAGACATGAAAAATGATTTCCTTTTGGTATTCTAACTTTAGAGCCAGAATTTCTGTTCATTTGAACACCTTCTTGAGAAACTACAAGGTTGAATATTCATTATCCTCACTGCTTGGAACTAGAAGAATTCCAAAACTCATTTTTCTTTTCAGAATTTGGAATATATGCATATATATAATGACATTTTGGGGGATGTGATCTAAGTCTAAACTCGAAATTCATTTGTATTTCATATACACCTTACATAAATAGTCTGAAAGTAATTCTATACATTATTTTGACTATGACCTATTACATGAGGTCAGGTGTAGATTTTATGCTTATGGAACCATGTTAGTGCCCAGAAAGTTTCTGACTGTGGAGTTATTTCAGATTTCATATTTTTCAATTAGGGATTCTCAATCTGTACTAGATTTGCTACTCACTACAAAAAAATGCTTTTAATCTTTAACCAATTAATGGCTGCTAAAATTTTCACCAGCAGATTAGATCTGAAATGATTTTTAAGCTGTTCTCACTCTCCTTTACAGATATGTTTGACTACACTATCTTCATGAAAAATTCTATAGATACCGTAAGAGATCTGACTGATCGTGGAGAAAACAGAAAGTCCTGTTATTGCTGTTTTACTTCTTCCAGGGTCATATCTACATCCGCCCTCAATTTATTACCTTCCTGTCTTCCTATTATTTTCTTAAATTTGAAAGACAGACTTTTGGATGATAACTATGACTGAGTCTTGGGTTTTTTTTGGGGGGGTTCTTTTCTAGGTGGGCAAGTTGGGGGGTACTGGTGAGCATGTGACAGGTTAGTGTTCCTACAGAATTTACTTATGAGTAGATCAAAAGACATTTGCCTAGAAGGAAAATTCTTAGACAAATATAACATATGATCACTATAGAAAACAATTATTATGAATAATCTTAACCAAATTATTGCAGCTTTATGCTTCAGCCAAGGCAACAACTTGGCTATATCCTAAAGGAGATGTCAAACACTGACAGTTAGAAATAAGTCAGAAAAGAAGACAATGAAAAGAAGGAAGTATCTTCTTCTCAGTTTTTGGATATCAATCTTATGTAAACTCTCCTAAAATTATTCTATTTACTTAGTTATTTAGTGATTTCTGAATCCCCTTTCTCATTTGGAATTTAATACTTTTAAAGATTCAGTTTATTTTAAAATATTCTCCTTCCTCTCTTTCTTTTTCTTTCTTTCTTTTTTTTTTTTTTTTTTTTTTTTTTTTTTTTTTTTTTTGATGCGTGGACTGAATGACAACAGGAGGGAACATGAAGCGTGACTCTTCACTAGACAAGGTCACCTGGAGGTGAGAGAAAGCCGCTGTACCTAGCTCCAGTATGCCAGCTAATAGTGACAGTAGTCAACAGTGAAAAGAGCAACTCTGACTATTTGGAGACTGAAATTTTGTTACCAGCTTTCTCCTGTGATCTAGTTAGGACTGCTTTCTCTGACTAGGAGAAAAAAAAATTGTTTTTCAGATGAAACTTCTATGAGTTAAAGACTAAACCTGAAGGGCAAAGTAGGTACTTAATGATGCTATTCTAAGTTGCCATGCATCCATCTCTGTATTTCCTACACTGGTCATCTTAAAGTAGTCTTTGTAAGCTAGTGGTCTGAAGATAAAAAAAAAATAAGACAAAGGTACTGAGGGACCTGGAACACTAGAGAAGGTGAATTTGGAAGCTAGGGAAACTTAAAAATCAAAACTGGCTCAGGACTTAGAACCATAAAGAAGAAAATAGTCAAAAAATATTTTCTTATTCTTTCTCTTTATATGACTTTATACAATCACTTACATCCTTTAGATGAATATTATCAAGGTCACAGTTGCTGTGTACGATTTCAACCAACCAGCCTTCTGGAGTAATCATGTTGAGGGTCAGAAGAGGTGATTCAGGGATATCCAGGAACTTTGCCATTGGTCCAAGAGACGGAACATTATTGACCCCTGACATCAGTTCTGGTTCCAGAACAAAACGGTAAAAGCTGTTGATAAAACACAAAAATACACACTGCGACAAAAACTGAGATAATTTTCTCTAATACTTAAAAATTGTAAATACTTTAATGACATGGCCAAAAAGTTTTAAATTGAAAAAGACTAAAAATACTGTAGAAGAGTTAATGCTTACAAATTATTTGGTAGACATTCTTATCTATTATAAGACTATACACATTAGGTATCCCTTGTTGATTATTTCTTAACATGATTAGAATCCTTTTTAAAATATACCTAACTTTTACAAGTTCTAGTAATTTGATCCTTTTTAAATTCGAATGTGACCTAGTTTTCATGTATTTTATTATTCTAACCATTATTAAGAAAAAGAAGAGAGATGTCATAAAACAAATGAAATTCTAGCTGTAATTACAGGAGAGCTTGTAGACTTACCTGTAGCTTTACTATAGTTCAGCCTTATCTCTAAACAGCAAGCATAAGTTAGTTATATTATTAAGAATAGTGACTTTTAGGACCAGCACACAGCATAATGCTTACATTGCTGGACTCCCACGTAGTTTACCGCGGTTCTAGTACCAAACCTGGTGACTTAAAACTGACACTCTGTCTCTCTCTGTCTGGTGAGTGCTTACACCCTATAGCAAAAATTTCTCTAAAACAAATAAGCAAAAAAGAATAGTGACTTTTACTATTTGGAGACTGCAATTAAGGTGGCAACTGTGGGGTAGTTCTCTCAAACTCAAAGGGGGCAGACATCTACTTCCAGGCTCATCCAGTTTCTCAAGGTTTTTGGAATAAGAGCTGCAGTTCCTCGCTAGCATTTGGCTGAATTTGTTTATGAGAAGCAAGTTACGAAGTCCAGCCCTCTCTCGACAGAGCTGGCACTCAGTGTGAATTCCAGGCAGCAGTGTCTACTTAGAAGCCATATCATACGGTCTGACAGAGAAAAAGTTAAGAAGAATCACAGTGCAAATTCAGTATGTGGTACTGTCAAATGCAGCAGAAATGTCAAGAATGAGGTATCTCACATTGCAAATAGCAATTTCTTGTGATTTAGTGAAAATAATTTTAATGTCAAAGAAGTTGTTAAAGTCAAGTTGTAGTGGGAAGTACGGTGAATGAGAGACAAAAAGAGAGTATGACTGACCATTCTTTGAAGAAGCTTAGATAGGAGGAATAAAGAAGAGGATGAAAAATCAGTACTCTAGAGGAGAGGAAATTAAGGAGGTTTTAACATTTTCCAATGGTTGGGACCAGTAGTTGGTACAATGGCTATGTCGCTGGACTCCCACGCAGTCGACTGCAATTTGAGTCCCAGATCCAGTGGCTTAAACTCACACTGGGCGCATGTGCATGCATGCCCAAGATCCCGAGAGGAGACTGGAAAAGGGATTGCGGCATGGCCATCCCCCCTCCCGGCCCCCGAGAGGTGATTTCTCACTTTCTATCTCTCTCTTTCTGGTGAGTGCATGCGCCCCATTACAAAAACCTCTCCAAAAAAAATTGTCAAGTGTACTTACCTTTCTTAGAGAGACAATGAGAGCGAGAGAGAAAAAGAGAGAGAGAGAAAGCACCTCCCCCACATGGGGTGTGGTTACGCTTCAATCTTATCTCCATTTCTCCATCCTGTCAGGATTTTAGGGCAAGCACACATAGGCCTGGTGTTTTCCCAAGCTGCCAGGGCAGAGGCTCAAACCATGGTTGGCTATGTAGGAACTGTCACCTTTAACCAGTAGGTTACAGGGCTGCCTTGGGGAGCAATTTGTTTTTAAATGAAAACCTTTAAAGACTGAAAGGAAAAGGAGTGGAGAAGTTACAGATATGGAAAAGAGGGAACACACAATAAAGGGAGGATCTAGAACAAATGAGAAAGCATGGTATCAAAATAGGGAGAAAATATTTACCTTTCAAAAGAGGAGAGGGCCGGCCCTAGGCATGGTGGTTAAGGGTACTGGGTCCCATGTGGCTGACCATGTGGTTCTAATCTCTACCTGGCTTGGGAGGCACGTCAATGCATTTGTATGCAAGCCCAGAGTCCCAACAGGATGGAGAAATGAAGAATGGATTGCTGCTTGACTGCCCAACTGCAGGGTGCTTTTCCCCCTCTTTCTCTCTCTGGGGAGCATATGCACTCTCTGGCCCAAAAAACAAACAACAAACTGAAAAAAGGGAGAGAAACCTTGTTCTCCTGAAAGCTGCGGTACTGGAGGGAGTAGGAGATTGAAAGAATTCCTGCCCATAACCTTTCTCATCTCTGAGAAGAGACAATATTTAAAAAAAGGAAAGGACTAAGAGTAATGATGAAAGTTATTTTGCTTGATATAAGCTTCTCAGTAAGATACTGTTGAACTAGCATATCTTTACCATATACTCTAGAATATTAGGTATTCAGTTAGAGAAGTCAAGTTGTATAGATTACTTGCCTATATATTCAATGCCCCTACTCTTTCATACATATTACAAAGATTTAAAAAAATACTATGGGAAGGACCCCCACCCCTGTGAAAAAATATTCTGTACTCATGAAACTAACAGACTTTCCAATTAGTGGCTAAAATGTTTAAAGCTTTTGTTTAGATTTAGAAATCCATGCATAAATGAAGCAATATTTAAAATACAAAGGGTAAATGAAAAATGTAAAACTGAATATAGGATAAGTATAAAAGTTTCAGGGGGGCAAGGAACAAACCGCAAACTTTCATTTAAATTTTCTACATTTTCCATTTTATTGCTTTGCAAAAATTAAAAAAAAAAAACCCTCTATTTAAAGTGTCTGCTGAAGGCAAATATCCATAGCATATTAATGATAAAAACCACAAACTGAAATTAAATCAAGGATTAACCGATTGCTACTTTTCTATCTTACATGTGCATACATGTGCATATTTGCTTTTTTGATTAGTTACACAGTTAAATTATACAAAGAATAAGCATGTTAACAAACCTTAGAAAGCCATACTAGTCCAAAGGCTCGTGCCTTTTTCTACCCAGTGACACCTAAAGGATATTAAATATTCCTTCCAGTGGGAGTAGCTTACAGTGAAAGTGACACTGATCCAAAATAAGAGAAAGAGTATATTTCTACCTTCACTTGAGAAATGAAGCAGTATTATTTCAACAAAGCAGTATTAAAAGGAATATATTTATAATGACAAACAACATTTCCTAGATCATTGATAGATTATTCTATAGTAACTACATCCAAATGTCATAAAATGCTAAATGTGATAATATAATAAAGATCATTTTGACAAGTCAGCTCTGAATAGGTACTGAAAGGACAGCTGAACCAAAAATGATTTAATTTAACCTTATATCTCATTGATAAATTTCTTGTTTCAATTACTTTTTAAAAAGATTTATTTATTTAACTTTATTTGTTCTTGTTATTTTGTTTTAACTTGTCCAGGGAGAGAGAGAGAGAGAGAGAGGGAGGGAGAGGGGAAAAATGATAAAGCAAGAGGGATTTGGGACTGCCAGGTACAGGACTTGAACTATGGTCAGCATGTGGGAATCCAGCACTTTAACCACCACATCACCTGCCGGCCCGCAATGATAAATTTTTAAGTAGTTTTAGAGCATGTTTCCAAAATAAGTATAATTCTATAAATTATGTAGTTAAATTGGACCAAGGTACTGAATTAGATTTATTCATTTATTAATTTTTTGTCCTAGGGTATGGGCACTCGATGGAGAGAGACAGAAAGAGACAGAGAGAGGGAAAGTGAGAAATCACCCCCTAGAGAAGGATGATCATGCCACAATCCCTTCTCCTCCATTCTTCTCTTGGGATTTTGGACATGCATACACATGAACATGCGCCTGGGATGATTTTCAAGCCACCAGATCTGGGACTTGAATCACAGTCAGCCCTGTGGAATCCAGCTACCTTAATCATCATGCCACTGGATGGTCTCATATTCTTTTAATATTATATCAGTTTTATATCAATGAAGGCTAATAAACTGGCCCAGTCTATTTCAGTGAGGTTTCTTGTGTCAGAAATAATAAATAAGACCTAGTAAAAATAACACTTTTTTTTCTTTTATGAGCATTTGCAAATCTCTCAAAACAAAATTATGTTCATTCAGACTTACCTCTGTAAAGGGGCTTCTGAAAGCTTACGCCTAGAGTTCATGAACAACCCTATCTTCATGTTGATAACCTTGCCAAGTACCTATAAGAAATTCCCATATATGATGTTGAATAACATAGACAGCTAACACATACTGAGCATTAACTATGGACCAGGCACTGGGTTAACACTTTATATCCATTATCTCAGTTGATTTTCACAATATCCCCCTGAGGGAGTACTTTCACAGTTAAGGCACAGAGACTTTAAGTAATTTTCCCAAGATCACAGAATAAATCATAGCAGAAGATTTGAACCCAAACAGATGATTTCAATGACCCAGGGTTGTGCTGCCTAGCTTTTGCCTGAAGAGACTTTCTTTCATGGATTCTAAACCTCCTCAGTACTGAAACACAAGCAAAATGCGTAATTCCCAGAACCCTGATCAGCAAATACAAAAGGACTGCACAGCAACACTGGCTACATTGTTCCTTTTTGAAATTCCATCCCAGATTTTAAAGATACAGGAAGTCTTTGGCTACATAGAGGTGAGATCTTTTCCTTATGTTTTAGAGGCGTTTGCCTTAGGGTACATGTACTTGGCAGAGAGAGAAAGAGAGACAGTGAGAGGGAAAGTGACTCACTCCCCAGAGGGGACGACCACACCACAATCCCTTCTTCATTCTCCTCCTAGGATCTTGGGCATGCACACACATGTGCCTGGCATGATTTTCAAGCGACCAGGTCTGAGACTCAAACTATGGTTGGCCATGTGGGAGTTCAGTGAAGTAACCACTATGGTATCTACTGCCCCCAGAAATATTTTTTCTTTTTATCTTCCTGGAACATTAGTAGTAGGAGAAAAATTATGAGCGAACTAAAAAGTTTGTGGAAAAATATTATTAAAGAATGAGTTTACAGCCAGCCTGTAGCTCAGTGGTTTAGTCCTGTGCATTGGGACCAGATACCACATAGCAAACTGAGGTTCAAATCCTGGTATCGTTGGCTTGCAAAACATGCTGGGCACATATGCATGCATGTCCAAAATCCTGGTGGGAAGGATAAGTGGAGATAAAACGACTGTAGCCTGACCATGCTCTGTTGGGGATGCTTTCTCTCTCTGGCGAGGGCATGCACCTTCTGGTAATTAAAAAAAAGTACCACTTAATTTTTGTGCAGAAAATCTTTTCAAATCTATATACTTTTAAATAATGCGCATTTACCATGAACTTTTGAAAAAGTTCTTAGCATGTTTAAGAGCTAGAATAGCAAAATCTTCCCAAAAACTATTCTTCTGTATTAATAAACATTTATAACAGATCTTTTTAAAAAAGTAATTATTTAATTTTATTCATCATAATCATTATTATCTTTTAATTTGGCCAGAGTAAGACAGAGAGGGAAAGTCAGAAAGCAAGCTGCCAGGTTCGGGACTTGAATCACGGTCAGCCAGGTGGGAGTACAGTGCCTTAACCACCACGCCACCTGCTGCCCATGTAACAGAACTTTATAATTCCTTTTCCAAACGTGATTGGCAGTGCAAGCTAATTTCTGAGAAAAGTCATATTTTGAAATTTTGATAGACTATAACACCAGTATCACCCAGTTTGATTATTATTATTAAATTATTATTAACATTATTCATCACACTTAATACCTAATTATTATTTTTTTCATGAGAGAGAGCATGTGAGAGTGTGTGCATGCACACAAGAGACAAAGACAGCATCCTCAACAGTCTCACTGTGCCTCAATTCCCTTTCTCCAGTCTCCAGGTAGTCGGTATATTGGGTATGCACATGCTAGGCATGCAGCAGGTCAACTTGGTATTTACACCGACGCCAACCATGTGGCTTCTAGCACTGCAGATCGGTATAACACTGCCTGCACCTCCAAGGCTAAGCCTACCCATGTTTGCCTGTTTCCAAAAATAAAGTCGACAGCCAAAGAACAAATAGTTCCCACTTCTGAGAATATATATTTTTAAATGTGCCTAAGAAAAAAAGCATTGAATAATTTTAAATAGAGGTACTCTGAAATTTCAAACAACACAAGAAAACATATCACAATCTAATGTAACTATGTATAGGTTGTTCAGATTTCAGTAGTGAAAACTGTTAAAATTTTAATGCTTGAAATTCTTGGTAAACTGGTGAGCCATATAAATTGGGGACTGACAGCTACTACCGAACATTCATTTTCTTCTACTTTCATACAGAAAGAATGTGCAGGCCTATGAAGGGCTTGTGGCTAGTTTCCAGGTTCCCTTGTCCCTGAAAGCCAGATGGCTGGCTACTTCCAGTCAGTGAGAAGTGGTACAATGAGCTACATGTGACTTTGGGTTGTGCCCTTGTTCTCCCTTTTCTGCTGGGAGAAATCCAGAGGGAAATTTAGGAGCCCGACTGATGATCTTTTTTTTGAAATGTTTTTGCTATAGGCCGCGTGCACTCGCAAGAAAGACAGAGAGAGACGGAGAGACAGAAAGCAAGAAATCACCACCCAGGGGGGATGGTCACTCTTCAATTCCTTCTCCTTCATTCTCCTCTTGGGATCTTGGGCATGCACGCACACACAGCCGGCGTGAGTTTTAAGCCACTGGGTCCGGGACACGAACCGCAGTTGACTACATGGGAGTCCAGCGACATAGCCATTACACTAACTGCTGGTCCCCCTGACGATGACCTTAAACTAGTAGACAGAAAGTACTTTACGGGGACAGCTGAGTGATGAAACAGATGGTGCCTGACGCCCTCAGGCAGGGCAACCCTGGGCAGCTGACACCTGGACCACTGGCTGGGAGGAAGACCCTTGCTGAAGTTACTGTAACGGATCGATCGCTAAAGCGGCCAAACCTACCAGAGTTGCTATGTGCCCCTTTTCTTCCACTTGACCTGTTCATTCACTTAATGTTATTTATTGTAGTTTAAGCTTTTTACTTAATTGTGCCTAAGCATCAGCTTCCCTTCTGCACAGCACAAGGAGACACCTGTGTTTGTCTGCTTGGGCTGCCATAACAAAGTACCATAGACTGACTGACATAAACAGAAATTCATTTTCCCTCGGTCTCGGAGGCTGGGAATTGTAAGATTAAGGTGCTGGCCAGTTCAGATTATGTTGAGAGGTCTCTAAGTTTTTCTGGTGGCTGGCACAACACGGGATGGTCATCTGCTAGTCTAGTTTATATTTTCTTACCACCAATAACTGGGCCATCTTCTGTGCTCCTCTTGTCAATGGATCGACATTAGCAATGACATCAAAGAATGTACTATTCTCTAGAGGATTCATCTTTATAATGCTGTGAAATAGAAAATACGGTGAAAGACCATGTGTTAGGTTTATATAATTACCTAGTTGATCATATTAGCTGTATATACTCTCATAAATAGTTTTTTCTTACCAGATTAAAAATATACTGGTTAATTCACACCATAAAAAGTAAATTTAAAGTCTAATGCTGTGTTCAACAAATTACAAAACTGGACAGAAGTGAAGAAAAATAAAAGTAAGATCTTAATACTGACTGACTAAAAAAAGGAAAACTCCCAAGAATGATACTTTTATAGTAAAAGGAATAATTTTAAGTCCTCATAATTCTCATGGATCAAACACAGCAAAAAATAAAGTGAAGATGATTTGTGTTTGTTGATTATATTTCTTCATATTTGAGAATGATAAAATTAACCATTTAGGAGCTAGCTTCGTGGCCTGGTGATTAAGGGAACTGGATCCCATATGGATGACTGCATGGTTCAAACCCTTGCTCTGGTGGTTTGAAAAATACACCAAGTGTATGTGGATGTGTATTCAAACTCCTGACGAGATGCAAAAATGGAAGAGAAAGTACTATAAAATGACTACATATCATGGAAGAAATAAACTTTAAAATGTTTTTTAAAATGAATTATTTAGTACTTTTATTAAATTTAGTAGTTTGGGAACCAGCAGTTAGCGTAATGGCTATGGCACTGGACTCTCACCTAGTTGACCGCGGTTCGCGACCCGAATCCGGTGGCTTAAATCTTACACCGGGCGCATGTGCGTGCGTGCCCAAGATCCCGAGAGGAGAATGGAGGAGAAGGGATTGCGGCGTGACAATCCCTTTTTGGGGGGGGTGATTTCTCGCTTTCTATCTCTATGTCTCTGTGTGTGTGTATGGCAAGTGCACGCGCCCTATAGTGAAAACCTCTCCAAATAAATAAATAAATAAATAAATTTAGGTTTTTTTTTAAAAAAAACTAACATAATAATGGGAAGGTTCAGAAATAAAAAAATCTAAAGTTATCATACTTTATTGTCGAAATGTACAAAGTTATATTAAATTTTACATTTAATATAATTAAAATTTAATAGCATATTTTTGATTGAAAGTATAGTTCAATTGAATTAGTATGAACACTACAATGTTCTAATTGAACACTATAATAATATAGGAAATAATTTTTCAAGTACAAAATTAGTTTTTCACATACAAAATTACATAAATATTTAGTCTTCTTTGGTACAGGAAGGCTTTTTTTCTACTTTTTTTGAAGTAAGTGAATTAATTGCTCAGTAATGAAATAAAAGCTAATATAAACATTCACTTCATCTATGGGTCATCTGAACAGAGAAATGAAAGATGTTTTATTTTATATGCAGTTGATGTAATTTAATTATGTTGAAAAAAGGATGACAGAGGCAGACAACAGACCTTGCTAGATAATTGTTACTAGAAATGAGATACAAATTAAGTATTCTAATATTAAAGTAACTCTTTTGCTTCCTGTAGTTATCTTTTTTTTAAGTCCAATTATTTACTTCTTCCATGAGAGAGAAGAAAGGAGAAAGACAGACAGACAGATGTTCCCAATATGGTTTCCACACCACTATCCACCCCTAGCCTCTGCCAGTGCAGATCACAGCATCTGTGCTGTGGCCAGTGTGCACAGGGACGTCTCAGGATGTAAACTGAGGATTTTCTTACATGAGTCAAGTTTTGTTGCTGCTGTGCCACCATCTGGCTTCATTCCATTCATTATCTCTGTGAAAATTTTATAAATTACTGTCATACTGCTAGCATTAATCAAAACTGGCCCTTTTATGCATACTCTGCATGATATTACTACAGCTTAAGTATATACATCTGCTTAACATTGCTGTAGGTTTCTTTCCCCAGACTACTGCTAATTCTGTGAGGTTGTATGAATCATAATCCCCATCCTCTAGTTTTTCTGTCTTGCTGTACATTCAAGATAACCTTCTTAGCACAATCCTGAGCCTACTAGTAGGTATTATACTGACTGGCCTAACAATGGAAGTAAAATGTACTTTTTTTCTCATGCAACATTAACAGGAATTCTACCTCTACCATTTCTTGAAGGTAATAAATGTGTACACAATTTCTAAGAAACTACTCATAAACTTCATGCTATTACCCAGAAAGAATAATGAAGAAAATACTGACGGTCAATAATTATGAAATCTTATGTCAGAAAAACCAAACACTAGAGAACTGCTTGAAGCTCCAAGTATATACAGTTCATCAACTATTACAGAAATACTGAACACACTTCAAACAGGCCATAGCAAGAGAAAGCTCTGAGCTGCATTTTGTTACAATGCTATCTCTATATAAAATAGGTCAAATTATCTACTGAATATCTTAAGGATATTGCTGAAGACACTGTTCATTAGATGGTATTCTCTTTTAGGAAGACTCATGGGAGAAGTTTCTTGTCCTCCTCTTCTAAGCATAGTTACATTTCACCTGAACAATGAGTGTGTTTTTACCTCATGGACTTCAGGAATTGTGTGAACCAGAAAACTCACAGCTAAATTTATGGCATGCTTGTGGCAGGATGGAAGGTCACTACTGCAACAGCTGCAAGGCCTTCTTTAAGACATTTAGCATCAGTTCTAATACAACTTGCATTTGTCACTGCAAATTCCTGGGATGATAGGGTGACAGGACTGCTATTTTTTTTTTTTTTTGCAAAGATACTAGAAGAATATGAAGAATATGAAGTCGACACAGTCCGGAGGGAAGGGGAAACACGTCATGCACAGACTTAATAGAGCCTTCAGAAC